AAGCCATTGAAAAGTGCTTGAATTTCTCTCTCAAAAGGTTGTACAAACCCTGAAATGAATGTTGTAATGCATTCGACTATTTCTACCACAACACCATGGTTACAGTTAGCGTTACCGCTTCTGGTTTCCAGACGTATGTCACCACTGTTTCTAACAATTCTGTGCAGAATTTGAATGATTCTCACTAGATCTCGCAGCAACCTTATTGTGCGGCGAATTCAAACGCTTCTCACTGGATCTCGCAGCACTGTTGCATCTGTGCAGTAACAGTGTCGCGAAATCAACATTGGCTCCTGAGTAAAGCTGTTCTGAGCTTGGACAACCGTTTAGTTTAGCTTTCGTTTCGTTTGCCGTTTGATGTTTCTCAAATGCAACAGAAATGGCAGCGCTTATGAGTTGGACAATGCGGTGGTCGCACCAGTGCGACTGCTCACAAAAATTAGTTGCACCGGCAGAAAAATTGGTCGAACCCATTTGGTCGCAGTCTGGAGCTCTGGACCACTGGGACTGGAGGAGGTTCAGGACACTGGAGAACACTGGACTGAGTCTAGGAACTGGACAGGGCTTTGGAGAAACTACAGGGACTGGATGAGACCTCCGATCAGACTCTAGAAGGATGGCCATCTGTAATTCTGACTTGGAACTGGTGGCCATGACAGGTAATGATTCCATGACGGCGGCCATAATGGGTGATGACTGACGATCGGCGGCCATGATGGGTGAGGAATGGAGATAGGCGGCCATGTTATGTATAGCTGATCTGGGACTGGCAGGCATTAAGGGTGATTGGTCTGGATGGAATTCTTGTACGGATTTTAGGACCAAAGGAAAACTTAGAAGGGACTCACTACAGAACTCTGAGTTAGGAGCGAACACATTGTGGAACTCTGGGACTGGAGCGGATTCAGGGGTTGGTTCAGGGATCAGAATAGACACCGGGTGGTAGTTGGAGGCAGGACTTGCAGAGGGCCATCTTTTCTTCGTATGCCTCCTCCTTTGGGCAGAGGTGAAAAGAAGTGCTGAGGTTTTAATAGTCTCCGAGTTGGTCCCAAGCTTTGGCGCTGACTCATGGGTGCGAACAGGTTCTGGAACAGGAATGGACTTACAACTGAACTTAAAGGCTGAGACAGATTTGATGACTGGCGTGAACCCTGGAACAGGTGAGATGGATCAGATGGTTAAGGATGTTGAGGATTTGTCTACAGATTCGGGAATTTCACTCAATGGAACAGGCTCAGGAACGCTACTCACTGGAGCGGACATGGGAAGTGCTTCCTCTACAGTATACGTTGATCCACACAACCATAGAATATAATCAACATATTGTTGCAAAGAACATGTGGTTGCACCCGCTGGAACTAGTAGATAAAGGTGATCATCCAAGCCGCACCAGAAAATGGTCTTTAGTGTGTCATCGTTCCAGGGAGCTTGATGTGAGAGCTCGAAGAACTCCTCTACGTAGTCCTCAATCGGGCGGCCATCTTGAAAGAGTGTGAGAAGCTGGTCCACTGGGTCTTGAGGGGTGAGGATAATGCCCATGTTGTAAGGCAAATTTTGTGCGGGCTGGTCTTCTGTCACAAAACAGATAACAGAGAACACAGGAAAGGGAGTACAGCAGGTTTATTGAAGCCGGGATCAGAACAGGAAATCAGGTAAGTTCAGAAGTCAACATAACATCATAACTTAATGGAGAAACTGGAAGAGTAAAAAGTATTCCTTTATCCACAGGTAGCTTAAACTAAAGGAGGCTTTGTAGACATCAGGCACAAACTCAGGTGAAAAGAAAGTCTTTTAGAATAGTTTGTTGGACTTATCTCATGATAACTTGGTTTAATATTCCTTATCCAGGTTCGAGGGCTCAGAGAGCGGACAGACAGAGGTTTCTCTGGAAGGTGGATCGGGTCACCGTGATTCAGGTGAGTAGCGCTGGTGAGGAGTAGGGAAGTGTATCCCACAATATGTAGGATATACCAACGACGAGACCAGACAATAAAGGAGCGGAAGGTGAGTGCTTTATATGGTAGGTAATGAGGTGAATGGTGGCAGGTGTGTTGATAGGGGATCAGGTGCAGGCGGCATGCTGGGAAATGGAGTCCTTAATGTGGTTAAGTGACTGAGCTGGTGACTGCTGGTCTGGGCTGTGACAGAATGATTCAATGACAAATTGATTTTTTAACAGTCACTTGTTGCCACATATCGACACAAATGTTATTTAAAGCACCAGTTACTTTCAAAAGGTGATTTGATTTGCTCTATTTTGATCGCAACCATAGACATCAGTGTTTATATCGGAACTATAAACTTTCATCCCAGTATTTCTGTGATAATATGAATGACTGTAAGACAGAAATAATAGGCCTAATGTGTAGTTGAAAAGACTGTTTGTTTTTTACCTAAACATGCTAACTGCTCTCTCTGTGCCAGCAGCAGTGCTAACGTAGATTTGAATGTTCCAGTAAGACTTTTTCAAAGGTTTAATGGACACAGGTGTATCGTTGTCATTTAGAAATTAGACCGCAACCGCGATCGTGATCTTTCAGCGATTAATCGTGCAGCTCTAGTACGTAGAGTGTGAAAAATCAGTTTATGAATACCAGGATTAATTGTTAATCCAGAGGATTCCCTTTAGCCAGGGTTTAGAATGACCCAGCACTGAATATTTCAAGTGTGAGAACCCCTGTAGTGGTGGCACAAACCCTGTGTATTCTCGTCTGCTAAACGATTAAATGTAAATGTATTCTGACTGCATGTGAACCTGTGTTTAATGTCGTCTAGGTTGTGTAAAGCCCTATTCGGACGGGACCAGTTTTCAAGGGGGTCATCAGAGAAATTTGTGTTTCACAGATGTACAGTAAAAATTCCAGAGCAAATTACGTACTGTTTTTCGCCAAACTCGATGGGAAATCTAATCTTCTGTGCAAATATCTGTGATTGCTGATATAGTATTATCCCAACGCTCATGTATTTTTTGGCCTACCTGAGCTACTGTTTGCGCACCAATCTTACGCATGCTAAACCTTTAACTATGGATGGTATTCGGCAAAAAAATAAACTAATAAAATTAATAAGGAGAGATAAAATTAGGAAACTGCTAAAACTGGCCATTTTAACATCGGCGTCAGGTAAGATGCTTGTCTACATTTTGTCTGCTCACTTGCATGGATTTATAGTAAGCCGCCACTTAAACTCACGTGAAGTTTATTTATTAGACATATGCGCCGTATCTAGAAAACACACCCACTTCTGTAGTAAACACAGAGATGTTAGTCCCGTCGAGTGATTAGAAAGTGATTCGAGTGATTAGAAATGAAACCCATATACAAAGTTCTGGCATGAAACTCTAGATGGCGCAGTCCGATAGATCTAATTCAGTATGACATAATGACATCATCATCACATGTCACAGCTGATTGGTTCTCTCCTGTATCAGTAGCCAATGAGCTTGCTGCTCAACATTCAAATACTTGGCTAATGCTTGCTGTAGCAGTGCACTTCAGAAACCCTCCACCTTCCCCAGGCGTGACAGATCGCTGTATAAACTCCTCAGTTCTGACAACATCCCTTCATCTTTACTACTAGTTTTAACATGAATTATAAATGAATGAACATCTCACCCCTCACGTAATCGCTCAATCAGTGTTTCAACAGCTCGATATTATTATTTGCAAGAAATTAAGTCTAATGAAGAGCATTTTGCGAAATATTACACTAGGGTATATGCTTCATTATATTTTACTTTACCTGTTAGTGATGTCTTAATTATTTAATGTATGTTTAAATAAATCTTTTATGAAACAAGTTATGACAGCCACTGTGAAATTATTATATTTTAACAACAAATATAAATGTAGAACATTTAGAAGTTAATTTAAAAACATGTTTGCATAAATTTTTTTTTCATTTTGAGTGTTAATTGTTATAGTTAAAAATAAACAGTAATTGAATTTAAGTTTGGGCTCTGTTGTTAATTGTAACCTTATAGTAATGTAAAAGGGCTCCCTATTGTTTAGATCAGAAGCTGAGGTAGATTTTTATTCCTAAGAAAATTAATTATAATTAAATTTATTTAAAGAAAGAGCAATTTGTTCAGTAAACCATTGTTTAATTAAAAAAAGAAGCAATTTATGTTTAGTTTTTTTCCTCCTGCTGTACCGAAACCATACCGAACCATGAAGTCAAAACCGAGGGACGTACCGAACCGTCATGTTTGTGTACCGTTACACCCCTAATTAACCATGCCAATCAGTCCGAGAGTTGTCATGACAGAAATGTAGTCTAGAAAACTAGTCCTGTCTGAATGGGGCTTACGTTTGATTGAACACACAGCCTCTGACATCAACAACCAAACATGGGAAGTGTTTTCTCCTCCCTTTTGAGAAGTAGTTTCTGTCCTGACTGCGTTTCATTGCCGTACGGCCGATGCTACCTCAGAGTAGGGCGTCACGCTGGCGAACTCCTGATGCAGCTGCAGCAGCTGGATGAGCTCCGGCTGTCTCTTCGCCGTCTCCACCGCAGCAGCTATAAACTCATCTGCTTTAGAGGCGAACTCGTATGCAGCGCTCCTGGAGCTGAAAGCGTAGTGTTTCTCCTTGTGCTTTAGGACGCCGATCTTTGGATTGCCTGAGAAGAGACACTAATATGTCTTCTCAAAGAAAACAAATATCAAATGCAATGCACACAGTTTCACTGTTTGTACCTGGCAGTAAAAGTCCGTTGTTCTTCACGAGGGTGAAGCCACAGAAGCCCTTATACTGCAGAGGCACGTCCTCAACGTGAGCTGAGCTCTCAGGAAAACACCATTCACACGAGCTCATCTCCGACTCAACAACACGCTCTTCTGAAACAAAGTAGCAGTGACTCGTGACCGTTACACACAATTTCAGTGGCCATTATTCAGAAACAGCTGCCTGCGAATGACCAGTCAAAATCAAATATTCAGATATTAAGACTCATTTCATCTGACACTTCTCAAGTCTTCAGTTGTAACACTTAAGCTCAGCACACTGAGGGCCTGATTTACTAAACCGAGTGAAACCGAAATCCCATAAAAGTGCTGATGGGAGTGGAAATTTCAGCAGATGATCTGGCAATGAGCAAATCAAAGAACACAGGTGCAGCTCATTTCCATAATAACTAATGCAGTTACCCAAAGCAGCACAAATGAGCAACTATCGCAGGCATGTAAAGCATAAAATGGGTTAAGACCCGGTTTTTTGGGTGTTGGGTCAGTACAGTGACCACCAAAACTTAGTAAATTATGTTTCGTGATTCATTAAAATAGTCTTTATTTAAATACAAATGCATATGCAATAAGAACAGATGCCTTTTCATCTTTTCACTAATGTTTTACTTATCTTTTTTAATACCAGTAGGCGGTTTGCTCTGGTGTGAGCTGCTAGTGAATCTGGTCCTAAAGTTCAACAGGTGTTTTCGTCTGGCTGCGTGTCGCACCTGCTGTCACAGAGCATCTGTCCGCATCCGTTTGCACCTGCAGTCCATGCAGCAGCAGCTCCAGCTGATCTGGGCTCAGCAGAGACTGCGCTGATAGGAACGCTCTCAGACCGGACGCCACGTTAGTGAGCATGCTCAGTAGCAGCATCTCGCCTTCCAGTCCCGCCCAGAACGAAGCCAGTGCTGTGAAATGAGGCTGACAAGAAGAGCGACGCTTATAAATCTACATGCGATCACAAGAGTGGCACTGCTGTACTGTAAAAAACAGACACTTTCTGTGACGGACCAGGATTACTACTTATTCAAACGGACAGTTCTGACTCTAATTTGCACAAACTGTGTTCAAAGCGGTTGCAAAAGAACCAATATATATATACACCTGACCACACAGCAGTGGAATATTATATTAATATATAGTGTATAGAAAGTTCTGAATGCCTTTCATTAAATGCAACAAACTACACAAGCACAAGCACATTTCACAAAAACAAATTCATTATTTTTCTTGTCACTGTATCTTAAGTATCGCCTACTTTCAGTTACAATATTTTTAGAATTCAATTATTTGCTCCATGTAAAATAATTGAAAAAGCTTACAGGACACTAAATATGATTTAAAGCCATCTGTTCACTATGGAAGCTTGTTTCCGCCATGGAATAAAGAAAATACAAAGGTAAATGTGACTTTTTATCTCACAAGTAACAGTAATGTTCTGTTTTGGTTTCATTTTCAAGGACTTTTAGTTTGCTAACCGTTGTTTCTTCTGTTCTCTGTTCCTGTTTGATCTTTAGTTGCTATGACAATTCATTATTTTCCTCACACCTGTCTGTGATTGAGGTCATTATCACTGTGTGTTTAAGTTCCTCTTGTATTGCAGTTCTTTGTCCGGTATTGTTTAAGGTTGTGTTGTGTGTAAGCCTTCGATCTCCAGTGTATTCATGTTGGATTTATGGATTTAGTAGACTGTTGGAATTTTTCTACGTTGTGCGATTTATTTACAGCAATGCAGTTACATTCCAATTCTGAGTTTATATCTTGCTATTCTGAGAGAAAAAAAAAGAAAGAATTGTGAGAGATAAACTCAGAACTGTAAGAGTTTATATCTCACACTTCTACTAAAAAAAGAGTCAGAATTCTGAGTTGTAAATTCAGAATAGAGTATAAAAAGTCACAATTAACTTCCGTGTCGGGAACAGGTTTCCATAGTTTACAGATCAATCATATAATGAACATTCAAACCCATTGCTACACTATTTCTCCCTCATATGAATGAGTCTTCTCTTTGAATTTAATGTCTTTATCTTGTTCTTTGTAAAGATGCTTTGAAATAATATTGTAAAATTCACAATATAAATTCATTAAAATTGTGAACTATCAATAAACATTCAGCACAAACAGATGGACAACAGCATTGCAGAAATCACTCACAAACACATGCGATGTCGGCACTGTGGTCTTGGTGTGCACTGTGTCCTTCAGGAGCATCATTCGAGTCTTTAGATCAGACTGTAACCGTGTCACTTCCTTCGCGCTCTGGATGATGTCCGCCTGATGAAACACGAACACCAAATCACATCACCATACTGTCATGTATTCATCCTCAACGTCATATTACAGCATCAGCAGATATTACAGCATTCTAAGGCATCGCAGTACTGAAGCAAAGGCTATACATTCTGATTCTAATAAAAAACAGAAATCTTGGTAGCACTTTATTTTCCCGCATGCACATACTATGTACTTATTATATTAATTACAATAAGGTAATAACTAGAGACTAACCCATGCAGTTACCTCATATCATGCACTACTTCCTTAGGTAAGTATACTGTTAGTACAGGTAAGTGCACGAACTGTAAAATAAAGTGCAACCAAAATATTTCTGTAACAATCAGCCAAGTTGAGAGAAATGTTGAATATGAATATACTTATGTGTAAATTCAGTTCAATCACAAATGACTATTTTACACTATATTTCTGCATAACGCACATTTTGATGCTTTTTAGAGCATTGCATCCTACAGTATTAGCTTAGCAACATGCTAAAACGCCAAACTCTATCCACCTTTTTCCTAACAAGCCTACTGCGCTGAAACTTTATGAAAAAAGACAACATATAGGCTACTGCGGAGTTGTGGTCTGCTGTCCTGATTTAATTTACAAAACACACTATATTTCATTTAGAATCTTTCGTTTTTCTCTTGTCTGTTTCCAGATTTGCTTTCACGGGGATGTAGTAAAATGCAATTGTTACATAATATAGATATATTATTATAATGATATTTATCACATTAGTAATATTGCTGCGGATAGCATCGAGCTTAGGGGTTATTCATGGTATGCTGAAAGTAATTTGTTAATGCTCTTACACTTAAATGTTCCTCTGTATGTCTGATGGTTGGAGGGTGAGTAAAATAATGTCACGTCATTGCACCCAGTTTTTGAAAATGCTTATTACGTTCATAGAGCGAACGTTTTGCTGATTGTTTACAGTGTAAACAGAAGTTACTCCCATAATTTGCTCAAAACGTCATGGGGTGTAGGATAAAGGTGGATGGAGAACAACTGTGAGTCGAGTCTCTTGTGCACTATTTGTGTGATCTTAAAGAGTTGCGGCTCATGGAGACTGATTTGTTTCAAATCACTCACTTGCCTTACGTTCGTAAAGGGGTCATATGACGTTGCTAAAAATAACATTATGTTGTGTAATGCAATGTGTTTACGCGGTTTAAGGTTCAAAAAACATTATTTTCCACATACCGTACAAATATTGTCAGAGACTGTCTTACTATAGGGAGATGGAGATGAGAGGGTCTGTATTACTTACTATTGGAGAAAGCGTAACGGCTAACTCGGATCACGTGTGCCTTAATTAATAACCATTACAGCCCTGACATCATTTAATTTCAGTAAGAGTTGTGCGATTCTCAGTCATACCATAGGAATGAATGGGAAGTGCCGTCGCAAAAAGTCAGTGACTTCTCTCATAAAACGGTATATAACGGTATTTTTCGGTATAAACTCTAAAAATAGTTCAATCCAAAAGTATTGCATAGTGTAAAATATGTTGAAGATTAGCTGATTTGGCTGTCGATAAATTAAATGATAAGCTGTTTCCTCTAAAAAGCTGTTTATTCAGCATCTCCTCCACGGACATCCATTCAAATAAAACGGCCTCTGGTCTCCTTTCCGTTACGCTTTTTTGGCTAATGGTTGCAGGTTTGCCTTCTAGTGGCTTTGTTATTGTTTCTCCTCTATGCCCCGCCTTTCTGAAATGCGTCGATTTTTACAAAGCTAATCGTTCTGAAAAGCGCTCTGTTCTCTGATTGGCCAGCTGTCCAGTGCGTTGTGATTGGCCGAATACCTCAAGCGTGTGACGGAAACGTTACGCCCCTTACCATATTTGGAAACACACAAAAGTTACGCCTTCTTTCTTTGTGTGAACATTTGGGCGGCGTTATGCAAATCTTCCCACACAGTGACATAGACATGTGGGGGCGTGTTTAAACGAGCCGTTTTAGGAGGGCGTGGACGAGTTTTAACTTTTATAAAGAATCTCTCTTTGGGTTTGAGACTTTAGTCTTCGCAACTTTACAGATCTTATATATGCACAAACAGCTTGTAACACTCCGAAGAGAAACTTGAAATTGCATCTTATGGCCCCTTTCAGACAGACAGCAGAGTGAGGCAGGTCTCTAGGAGTGTGGTTAAGAGCTAATGCCCTGTCTGTCTGACTTGATGAGACTCTCTGTAACAGTGAAACCCACCAGTATGAGTCTGAGGAAGGCCTCGTGCTGTCGTGTGTTGTACAGAGCCTGTTTGAGCAGGTCGGGGTGGACGGGGCACTCGGTGCGCTCACAGATCTTCTCCAGCAGGGCCGTGTACTGCCAGGCCAAGCGCTCACATCCCGCCAGTTCACTCTCTATATCTGCGGCCGCGGCCGGCAGCGTCTCGTTCAGAACGGCTGGCACTGCAGGAGACGCATGGAGAAGTGAGCGCTAACAGTATGAGGTCAGGATGAGTGAACTCAGGGAGACTCACGTACGGTTCTGGATGCCCTCTCCTCCTTTCCTGCTGTCCTTGTTGAAGAGGCGTATGCCGCTGACGATCAGAGCGAGCTCGCTCAGCTGCTGCTCTTTGTCTTGTTTCAGCAGAGACATGAAGGTGGCCAGCTGAGCCTGAGGAAAGACGCTCTGCAGAGCCGCTGCAACAAACAACATGCAGTCATCCTGTACTGACACCTGGTGTCATGAACACAGCATCATCACACAAGATCAACACCAGCAGAAATGCTCTTTCAGCAGTCAGCCGTGACTAAGAGTTACTGAGACAAACTACAGTATTCACTACTCACTTGGCAATGGATAATGTATTTATGAGTGAGCTGAGCAAGTATTATGCATTTAATCTGATTAGACATATAAAAGGTTTAAGTATAGATAAAGATTTAGATATACAGTATGTACTGTATATATACGTATACTGGTCAAAAGTTTCATCATAAAGATTTAGGGTAACACTTATAGCCTTTATGTATAATGCATTATAAAGGGTTTTTAAATGCATTATAATTGCTCATTTTATAGTGCATAAAGGCTTTAAGTAAAGTGTTAGCAGATTTTTATATGTTTTCGAAAGAAGTCTCTTCTGCTCACCAAGGCTGCATTTCTTTGATCAAAGAATATACAGTAAAAACAGTAATATTGTGAAATATTATTATGACTTAAAATAGCTGTTTTCTATGTGAATATATGTTCAAGGGTCATGAAACCCTAAAACACATTTTTTAGGTGTTAACAGGAATGTATAGATCCGTACATTGATCAAAATAGTAATAGGACTCATATATTTTATTAGCAAGTGGAAAAGCAAAGCTGAAGCAACATCGTGAAATATGACATATATGCGTTGTGGTGATTGGCTCCCAGTATGCGTCTATGTCATCGGTTTCTCCACATTTATTGATGAGAAAAAGCTCCAAAAGAGCTCAATCCAATCACCACGCACTATTATGAATTAATAAAAACTGCGTTATTATGCATGAGAAAGTATGACTTCTGACTCTTCTTACTGCTGTGATCAAAGCTGTATTTTCAGCATCATTACTCCAGTCTTCAGTGTCACATGATCTTCAGAAATCATTCTAATATGCTGATTTGCTGCTCAAGAAACATTTATTATTATTATCAATGTTGAAAACAGTTGTGCTGATTCATATTTTTTTGTGGAAATCGTGATACATTTTATTTCACAGTTGAATATAAACATCATTTATTTGAAATATAAATCTTTTGTGACATTATAAATGTCACTTTTAAACCACCCATGCGGTATAAAAATAATTTATTTATTTACCTCAAACGTTTGAACAGTACTGTATATGTATATACAGGAGTCTCCAGAGCTACTATATGAATGTGAGTGCATCAGACGGCAGTACCTGTGGTTTCTCTCATGGTGTTGATGTCTGTGGCCGAGCCGAGGTTGCAGCGCTGGATGACATAGCTGACTATTTTGCCGTACAGGTTTTTGAGGTCCTCTCTGGTTTTGGCTCGAGAGTCTGTGATCTCTCTGCTCAGCGACGGCAAACGGGAACGCAGGACCTTCTGCTGAACCTCCAGAAACTCACCTGACACACAGACAGTCAGTCACACACACTCAACGCAGTCGGTTCACCTAAATGTGTGTCTGGATTGCTGTTTGTTTTTACACTTACGTCGAGATGTGTAGTTCATGTCGAAGTAAACCTGCATCTTAATGGTGTTCAGCGTGGGACTCGTCTGGTCCATCAGTCTGTCCACACACAGCTGAAGACACGACAGACACCTTACACTCACTTCACACACAGTCATCTTTTATTTATTAATTAGATAGAGAGGTTTGACAAGACTTTGAAACTTTTTAACCCTCAAGTGTCCAAATTTGGGCAAAATCATTTTGTTTTGTTTTTATGAGCCTATAACACAGCGGGTTTTTTATTTTTTATTTTGTCGAATAAAACAGTCACTCACACATACAAAACCAAAGAATTAAATGAGCCAATGACTGAGCATTTTTTGTGTGCCAATCAGCCACTGTCCACACACATACAAACACACACACACACTCACACTCTCACTCACACACACATACACACACAC